GGGGCCTCGTCTCCGTCCCCCTGCGGCCGCGTCTCGGTCCCGGGCCGGTGGCCGTGCCCCCGAAGCCGCTCGCCTCGCCTCGAGGCTCCCGGCCGGCAGGACGCCACTCCGGCGGCAGAGAGGAAACCTGAAAGTGTTTTTAGGCGGCTGCTGGGGAGGGGACTGGGCATTTCTGGGCTCTGGGGACTTGCAACCCGCCCCCGACACGCTGGCCGGGTCTCTGCAGAGACTCGCCGGGTGGGGCTGTAAAACCGAAACCTGCCAAGTACCCCTAGAAACATGGGTGAATCATTTTTGTTTATAATTTCAGAAGGGGAGGGCCTTTCTAAAGCACAAAACAAAGCCCAAGCCATAAAGGAAACGACGGATACACTTGACCAAGTTTTAAACGAAGTTGATCTTTGCATATACCACAGGCAAGGTCAAGTGGCAACGAATGGGGAACATTTGTGCAAACACACGAGTAATAGGATTATCGATGTCAGCATTACTTATTATAATAATAGAAAACTGGGGAAAATAGTAATCATTAAGAGGGACCAGGTTAAATAAATGCCAGTACATCAGTACAACGCAACACTGTGAATTGGTTCGTTTTCATTTTTACTTTTCAAATGAAATAGATCTCTAGGTACTGACAGGGAAGGGTGGTGATGATGGATGGTTAAATGAAAAAAGCAAATTGTAGAACTTTTAAAAATGAAAATATGCATATTTCTTTTTTTTAAAAAAAAACATATGAAACGGCAAAGGCATTAGAACAGCAATTTTGCAAAACCAGAATAACCCCTCCCCCATTTTAATAGTTATTATATAGCCAAACGTTCTGTGTGATGTTAATAGCGGGAAAGACAGGTTGATCAATGGAACAGAATAGAAACCCAAACAAAGATATCCAACTTCTTTTTAGCACATGTGCAAATGTCCTGTCCATCAGACGGGAGGAGGGCAATCATATCCACAGGCAAAGCAAACAAAACCCTTGACCTGAACACCTACACCTCACACTTCATAAGAACCTAACTCCAAATGGATCACACACTTATATGTAAAATGTAAAACAGAAAAAAATTCTATGAGAAAAACTGGGGATCTCTGCCTAGGCAAAGGGATTTTAGACTTGACACAAAAAATGTGATCTAAATGAATAAATTAGAAGTTATTAAAATTAAAAATCTAGGCTCTGTGAAAGATGAAATAAAATGCACACTGGGAAGAAACATTTGCAAACCACATATCCAACCAAGGGGTAGTATCCAAATGTACAAAAACCCTCAAAGTGCCACAGTGAAAATAAACAATCTGATTACAAAATAGGCAAAGGATATGAACAGGCATTTCATTGACAAGGATACACAGATGGCAAATAACCAGGTAAAAAAATTAAAATCATAGCCCAGCCGGCGTGGCTCAGTGCTTGAGCACCAACCTATGAACCAGGAGGTCACGGTTCAATTCCCGCTCAGGGCTCATGCCCAGGTTTCGGCTCATGCCCAGAGGCCAAGAGGGGTTGCCCTGGCCTGTCCTCTAAGATTTTACAGTCTCTGCATCCCCAGCACTCCTATAAACCCCTAGTCACTTTCTGTTGCTTGTCAACATAAGCCCTGATCCAGTATTTCCCCCTACATCCATATAAGCCAAATCATGGACTAACTGGCAAAAGATATATATATGAAAAGTTAAACATTGTGTAAAGAAAGGGTTTAGGGTATCTTGATTAACAATTAATAATTGAAAGCAATAGTTTTTGTAGTCCTCTCTGTATCTCACTAGAATTTTCTCTCTGGCAAGAAATCTCATCAGCTTTCCTAATAATGAGTCACCTTGCACCTAACATCAACCTCATTTGCTATAATTTTGGGGTTTTGCCACTAAAAACTATTAGAGGTAAGTTACATACAAATTTTTCTTCTCTTAAAAAATAGAGAAGACAGGACTTGGTTCACTAGATTGTCTAATTTGAGATGCGCTCAAATCCCATTCTCAGAATGTTTGCTGAGAACGCCATGGCCCTTTTAAATCCGTGACTAACCCTGTTCCTTTTTAATGGATACAGTTTTTTGCATATCCAATCTTTTCCAAATATCATCAGAATTACAATTATCACTAGCAAATGAAAACCACCAAATGACTGGCTTCACTGTGAAAGCTGATTACAACTGGCGTTTTCCCAGTAGAGTTCCCGGTGGGGTTTGCCCGGACTCAGTTTCCCAATAACTACAGAAGAGGCGGAGGAATCATCAGGAAAACCTGTCGGGAAGAAAATGTCCATGTCCTAGCCCCTGTTTTTCAAAACCTTCTCTCCTGAGTAGGATAGACAGAATTGGAACCCCAATAATGTTAAACTCCTTTAGTTGGTTAAAAGAACTCAGATTTTGAAAAAAACCTTCAGGATCTAGTAGGTATAGATTTTTAACACTGCACGGAAGGCGAGGCATAGATTTTTAAGACTTAACACCAGAAGCACATTCCCTAAAAGGAAAGTTTTACAAATTGAACCTCACAAAAATGAAATGTTTTGGCTCTGTTCAAGCCCCTGTTAAGAGAATAAAAGGACAAGCTTCAGACAGGGAGAAAATATTTGCAACTATACATATGAGAAAGGACTGGTATCAAGAATATATTTTTAAAAACATCTCAAAGCTCCACAGTAAAAATAAACTGAATTATAAAATGAGGAAAGGACAGGAAAAGACATTTCACTGCAGAGGACGCGCAGATGGCAGATCAGCGCAGGGACAGATGCTCGGCTGCCCTGGCTGGCGCGGCTCGGTTGGTCGGGCACCTTCCCGCACCCCAAGGGGTCGTCGGTTCGAGTCCTGGTCAGGCCTCGTGCCCGGGTTGCAGGCTTGAGCCCCAGTCCGGGTGTCAGGAGGCAGCCGATCGATGTTTCTCTCTCATCAATATTTCTCTCTTTCTTCCTCTCCATTCCCTCTCCCTCTCAAATCAATAAAAGCATATTTTAAAAAACTCAGTTTCTGTGCTCCCTAAAGTTCTAAGAACTCCACCACTGGTATTTAAAATAGTGTGTGTTCGTGGATGTGTATTTATACAGAACTTGGAAATAACGTGTTACATATAGAACTTGGGAACAATACATCCATATCTGAAAATCCTCGCATTGGCCATCTGCTCGCCCAGCCACCCTGTCCATGGCAAAGGCCTCGTAAGACACGGCTGGCGGACGCCCGGGCAGCCTCGCTGAGCCATTTCCAGCCACGGTCTCTTGGGGGAAGGGCTGCCTCCAGCTCCTCGGGTCTCAGATATCCTGGAACTTACAAAAATACCTTCATCGGGCCCTGTTAAGTGGGCATCAATCACCCGGAAAGCCCACAAGCCCTTTAAAATGGTGCAAAGAAGTAAAACAAGAATTGCTCTTATTTTGCACTTGACCTTGGACAGAAGGCTCAGAAGCGATTTGTAATTGCTCTCATTTTACAAACTGTAGGACCCGGTGGGGCAGGGCTGTAATGGGAAAGTGCACAGCACTCTCCTTGCCCTCCAGAGATGAACTTTGGGGGCAGATGAAGCTTCTAATACTTTAAGTACTCGTATCTGTTTTACAAAAAGTTGTGTAAATTTTAATGACCAGAGTTATATAATTTTTAATGTGATTAAAAAAGAAAAAAAAAGGCCGGGTCAGTAGGAGAACGGAGATGCGCTCAGAAGAGAAGCTTCCAGCCCTGACCAAGCAGTTCACTCAAGCAGCCGCCAGGCTGTGCTGGTGCCTCAGGAACATTGTTTAACCCCCACCCCGCCTCCAGCAGAGTGAAGTTCGCTTAAGATGGTATTTCGCAGCTTTCTTAGGCCTCTAAAATGCGTAGTCATGGATTTTATATAACTCCTTATATAAAATGTTCAACTCATTATTAAAACATAAACTTACAGCAAAATTTCAATTAAGCAGTTTGAATATATTCAATTTGCAAAACATATGGGGTACTTACTGTGTTGTGTCATGAAGAAAGCATGGATGAGACATGGCAAGCACAATATTAATAATATACGCAAATATAAACAAGTGATTTCAATATAATAAATCGCTAGAATGTCAGCACAAGCATTTTGCTGTTGTTTTGTTTACTGCTCTGTCTCTAACACCTGGAATATAGTAGGAGTTCAATAAATAGTTATTGAGTAAATGAAAGATTTGATGAATTAATGAGTATATATATTTATAGAAAGTGTTAGGAACATAGTCTTTTATGTTCTCTGGTTTTATTTATTTTTAAAACAACTTTTATTTTTCAATTACAGTTGACATACAATATTATATTAGTTTCAGGTGTCCAACAGAGTAATTAGACATTTGTATCTCTTACTAAGTGATCACCTAGTTACAATATTATTGACTATATTCCTTAGGCTATCCTGTATTTTGTTTTGTTAATTCTCACTCAAGCATATTTTTTCCATTGATTTTTTTTTTTTTTTTTTTGAGAGAGAGAGAGAGTGGAAGGGAAGGGGAGAGACAGACAGAGAAAAACATCGATGTGAGAGAGACACGCCAACTGGTTGCCTCCCGCATGTGCCCCAACCAGGGTCAGGGATGGAGCCTGCAACCGAGGTATGTGCCCTTGGCCAGAATCGAACCTGAGACCCTCAGCCCTTGGGCCAGTGCTCTAACTGCTGAGCCAAACCGGCCAGGGCCCCTATGCTGTGCTTTAATCCCCATGACTATTTTGTAAGTACCAATTTGTACTTCTTAATTCATTTCCCTTTTTCACTCATTCCCCCAAACCGCCCTCCCATCTGGCAACCATCAAAATGTTCTCTGTATCTTTGACTTGGTTTCTGTTTTATTTTGATTTTCAGATTACACATNAGGGGAGAGACAGACAGAGAAAAACATTGATGTGAGAGAGACACGCCAACTGGTTGCCTCCCACATGTGCCCCAACCAGAGTCAGGGATGGAGCCTGCAACCGAGGTATGTGCCCTTGGCCAGAATCGAACCTGAGACCCTCAGCCCTTGGGCCAGTGCTCTAACTGCTGAGCCAAACCGGCCAGGGCCCCTATGCTGTGCTTTAATCCCCATGACTATTTTGTAAGTACCAATTTGTACTTCTTAATTCATTTCCCTTTTTCACTCATTCCCCCAAACCGCCCTCCCATCTGGCAACCATCAAAATGTTCTCTGTATCTTTGACTTGGTTTCTGTTTTATTTTGATTTTCAGATTACACATAGAAGTAAAAGCATATGGTATTTGTCTTTCTCTGTTTCGTTTTGCTCAGCACAATATCCTCTAGGTCCATCCATGTTGTTGCACATGGGAAAATTCCAGTAAAGGTGAGGAACCCCTAACCTCCCTTGCTGCCTTGCCTCTCATACCAAGACACACTCCGAAACTATCCAACTTTATGGAATAGTTGGAAAATATAAGCAAAGCAAAATATATAGACTCAGTGCTTTATGTGACTCCCCATAGCCAAAAGAAAAGTATGAAATACTTTTGACAGAGGGTGTCCTCAAAGGCACCCCAAGTTCTAGCCTCTTCTCAGAGTGCACCCCATTCTTCTGGCTACAGCATGAGTCTTCACCCCACCTCTCCACATGGGTTGGTCTGGCCCTAGGTTCACCTTCCTGCCTACGCTCAGGGCAGTTTATGCAGATGTAGTCCTCAGAATCTGGGCTATTCAATATAGAATAGCAGCAGCATCGTAGAGTAGTTCACAGTGGCTTTGGCACTCAAAATTCCTCATTTTTTTTGATTCTTTAACAGTTAAGTATAACACACACACACACATTCTTAGAGATGGTAAATTCTAAAGTTACTTTAAAGAATAGAAGGATTCTCCCCAATGCCCCCTCGTGAACACGGTATCTCCAGGGCAGGGTAGAGGTGGCAGTTAGCATAATCCTGGACATCCACGGAGCTCTCCTTTGTTCTTTTGCTTTCAGCCTCAGCATCCAGAGCCCCAGAAACTGGCACAATTACAACACCGCCTACCCCATGGTTACTATTCCAAGGCCTAAGAGTTCAGAAACTTGGAAATGAAATATTTTAGTTTTGATTTAATTTTACACTTCAGACCATGTAAAGAACTCTTGGGTGAAGCCTTCGCTTGCATGTACATCTATGTATACGCAAGAGATGATTTATGATCTTCCTAGCCAAGCAATCTTCCTGGGAGCTGGAAGACTATGCCTATGGCGCAAGGTATCTACATTTGGTCTTTCGGACCCTTGTACCACCACTTACCCCATGTCCCAGCCAGAAATGTCACTTGGATGAACCCATTCAGCCTACCACAAAAATGATAGAAGGCATGGGGCCTCATCTTACTAACCTCTGGGCCTACTGTAGAGCCAAGTAAACAATAGCCACTTAATCGACGCTAAATTGCATACAATGAAGCAACTTAACTAGTACAAAATAGTATAACCCTCAAGAAGAGTATAAGCAAGAGACTTCTAAGTTTCAAAGTGGAGAGAAGACCTTACTGGAGAAAAAAGAAGAAAATTCTTCCACCCGCACATCAAAAGATATTATGATGCTTCCCGGTAATTAACTGGTACAAACAGAACCGTCAGAAGAGCAGTCGCTTCATGGTTTTACCCAGGGCAAGTTTGACATCTTTGTTCCTCAAACTGTAGATCAAAGGGTTGAGCATGGGAACAACATTGGTGTAGAAGACCGAAGCATATTTACTCTGGTCCCCGGATCCGGGAAAGGAGGTTGTTAAATAGGTAAAGGCCCCTGACCCAAAAAACAGAGCCACAGCAGTCAGGTGGGAGCCACACGTGCTGAAGGCTTTGGCCCTCCCCTCGGCAGAGGGGATGCGGAGGATGCTGGAGAGAATGAAAGCGTAAGAGACGAAGATGCTGATGCTGGATGTCACGATGACCACGCCGACGACCACAAAGAACAGCAGCTCGTTGGCACGGGTGCTGGTGCAGGAGAGCTGCAAGAGGGGCAGAACTTCGCACAGATAGTGGTCGATGGCGTTGGAGTCGCAGAAGGTGAGCCTCAGCATGCCTCCGGTATGGGCCATGGCCCCGGCAAACCCTACCCCGTAGGACCCAGACATCAGCAGGGCGCAGACCTGGGGCGACATGGTGACCGTGTACAGCAGGGGGTTGCAGATGGCCACGTAGCGATCGTAGGCCATTGACACCAGCACGTAGCACTCGGAGTTGACAAAGAAGCAGAAGAAAAACAGCTGAGCCATGCAGCCCATGTAAGAGATGATATTTCCCGACACAAAAGCATTCAGCATTTTGGGAGTGAAGACACAAGAATAACAGAGATCTATAAAAGACAAGTTGAAGAGGAAAAAGTACATTGGAGTGTGAAGGTTAGAATTCAGCCCGATTAGGGTGATCAAGCCCAAGTTGCCCACCACGGTAAACACATAGACCCCCAAGAAGAGGAAGAAGAGGGGGAAACGGAGCTCTGGTTGTCCCGAGAAGGCCACAAAGATAAACTCAGTCGCCGAGGAGCCGTTTCTCAGAGTCATTCTCTTCTGGGGAGCTGGCTGTGGAAATAAGGGACAGAATACATAGATTGATGCGAAGCACAGGCTTGGGTGACAGAAGAGAGGGGACAGTGCGTGGGTGCCCCCCCCCTTTGCCTTTCTTCTTGTAACTGTGGAACCAGCTCAGAATGGTTCTATCCTGTGTGATGAGATGCTCAGTTGTTTTTCAGAGACAACAGACCAAAAGCACAAGTCATGCAGCTGAAGACTGCACAGATGAGAGAACTTTGGCCCCAGCAGCACCAAGAACCAAAGTTTTGCCCCCACCCCCACGCCCATCATGGAACCAAAGGACCAGGACATAACTGGAACTCGAACAGCAGAATGCTTTAGAAGCCAAGGGTTTGCTGTCCAGGAAGATCCAGTGTTGACGTCCCTTTACGATAAATGGCCAAGTTCCAAGGTCCTCCAATGAACACCTGCCTCACCAGCACTTCCACACATCCATTCCCCTAAGCCCCTTAAAAACCCTTAATCTAGTCCAATGAGCAAGATGGATTGGGGGCACCACTAGGTCTCCCATCTTCTTGGTTGGCACCTTTTCCATCACTAAACCTTTACTGACTTCAAACCTTGATGTTTTGAGTTGTGGCCTTTTGAAGAGTAGGGCACATGAGCTTTGGTTGGGTAACATTCTCTCATTTATGCCCCCAGCTGAGCTACTGACATGTGCCTATGACTATATCTCAGCTCCACTGGGTTGATCATGAATCTAGGCTAGAGTCTGTTAGCATGGACAGCAAGAATCCTGTTCCACCTTGAGAAATAAGGAGATTGAGTACCTGAATTGGCTGCCCAAGGATTCTCAGAAAGACATCCCAAGGGCCAGGAGTACAACCTGAAGCCCACTGCCTCAGGATGTACTGAGAGCTCTCATGTCTCCCATTCTCTGCCCGCCTCTCCCAGTCAGACACAGGGTCCTCTCTCCCCCACGCACCTGGAGAGAAAGCCAATAGTGCCCCCTGCTGTCTCTGCACATCCTACCTTCTTCCTCTAAACCCCTTCACTCCATCTCACATCAAAGTCAATGTAGAGAGCAGGGGAGGGATCAGTACCTCCTAGACCTCTTGGTTGTGGGTTTACGAGAAGCTCGTCAGAGAATTTGGGATTCAGACATTCACCTTCCTTTTCCCTGGCTCCCTCAGTGTTGAGCTGTATGCGTCACTTTTTTCATTAGCCCAAAGCAGAAGATGGTGTTAGTGCATAAAGCAGGCAGCCTCAAGTGTTAACTCTTCTGATTCCCTGGTGCTGAGAATCAGAGCTTCTACAGACCCCAGTCTCCAGGTGCTCTAGGAATAGGCTGAGATTTCTGTTTGTGGATTTTCTTAGCTGGTCTACATCAACTTCAGGAGAAAAAAATAGCAACCCTCATTTTCATCAGAACCCCAGCTAGCATATCATGAACTTTATGCTATTTGATGGCCTCAGGGACCTCATTAGACACAATTTCCCTGGGAGTTTTTCAGATTGTCCCTGTAGGGAAGAAATTGCATTCTTTGTTTCTGGTTGGGATTATGATGCTTACACAGCACCTTGGGACTCAGATGTTCCACTCGAACTTGACTTTTACTCCAGGGATTTCAGGACTTCCTGTGTGAGGTTGGGGCCTCATTTTTTCCTCTCCTTCATTAACTCCAACACTTGAGCTTGACTTTAAGGAGAGTGGCCCCAAACCTATTTTAGCCACCATTCCCAAGTTTTCAAAGGGAGTTCTGAGAATTATAAAAATAAGTTAGATCAGAGTTGTAGGTGCTACAGAGAGAGCACCTCAGACAACATGTTTCTAGCACCTTGAGCTGCTGAGAACAGTGGAGACACCACACCAGCACCTCCACAAACACCACCTGCTCTCAGCTCTACTAAGAGCCACAGGCAGGCCTTTGCTATATATGAAATGATCAAAATATTACATCAATATGTAAGAAAGCACACACTTACCTGCATGAGTTCACTTTATAGATGTGTACAGGCTCAAGGTGCAACAGGAGTTGTACCTGAAGTTTTTAATCCTGTCATTCTCTAGTGACAAAGCAGTTCTTCCTACAATTGATCTCCCTCTCCCTTTCCCTCTCTTCTCTTTTGTCTGTCTCCCCCACTCTTACTTCTCTTTTGTAATCTCCTAGCCTTCAGGATAGTCATAACTGAACCATTTGACTTTGTCTCAAGATACACCAGAGAGCATCAAGTTTATTGTCATTTATCCAATGCTGAGGTAGAGCAGAAGCCCTTTAGGGCTTCCATGTTAGTGGGTGGACATCAGAAAAAATACTCAAGGGAAATGGCCAAGGGGATTTCTAGTACATGTCTGGATTACTTGATCCAAATTCCCCTCACTACTCTGAAAATCTCCTTCCAGTTCCATATTTTAATGATGTTTTTGAGGTTTATTTTATGAAGAAAATAGGCATTTCTTTTTAGTACATATAATATCTTACTGCATTTCCCTTTAAATATCAGTTTAGCAGATATGTAGCAATGGCCCAGCAATGAAAGAGTGAGGAAAATTTATCTCTGTTCATTAGAGTAGAAGTTAACTTATTTATTTACTCATCACCTAATAAGTATTTATTAAGGCCAGATAGTTCCAGCAGTCTTAAAAACTTTATAATCAGAAAATCTCTCCTGAAAGAACAAAACTTAGAATTCTGGATAAAATATAAGTCATTTATTTGTTCATCTTTGAGCTTGCAGAAATGAAGTGAATTCCTGCGAAAGCAAAAGATAAAAGATAAAAAAGCAAGAACCCAGAGGGGAGTGCAAGCACTGAACTTGGGTTTGCCCTTGGGGAACTAGTGGATTTCCTGTGGTTCTAAGTCAGGATTTAATTGAGTTGACAATGCAGGACATAAGAGATAAAGCCTGGGACTCAAGAAGGTTGGGAGTTTGGAACCATTATTGACTCTCCATACTGGATCCCCAAAGGGAAATATCTTCCATGGCTAAATCAGAGGAAGAAAAAGCCCACAGAAGAAGAAGGAAAAGATGTGTGTCCAACTTGGCCTTGGCTGTAGAAGAGCAGAAAAAGAAAAAATATTCCCTATGAATTTCTAACCACCTCTGTGTTTCAGGTAAAAAAAATCATATTATACACAAAGAATATGAATTCTGGAGAATACAATTTAAATCCAGATATCAAAGAAATTTTTCCAGGTAAATATTAGATCATGAGCTCTTAATGGAAATCACTAAGCAAACATAAATGAAACCACTAGGAATGAGAATCACCATGAAAGATGAACCACAAGCTACAGAACTAGACCTGGCAAAATTGCTAGGCTCTTCAGGGACAGAACACAAAATAAATGTAAGTACATTAATGTGTTCAAAGAAAAAAAAGAACAAATTGAAAGTATGATGAAGAAACCAACAAAATTAATAAGGCAGATTAAACAAGTATCAAATTAACTTTTAGAAGTGAATACATGATAGTTGAAATTTAAAACTTTATGAATATGTTAAACAGCCTATTAGACACAGCTGAAGAGAAAATAAGTAAATTGGAGGGTAGATCTAAAGAAATTACCCAGCAGTCAGCATCAGCTGAAGGGGGGTGGTGGGAAGAGCAAAAAGTCTGCAACTTAGAAATATAATTTAAGAAATATAGAAACAGAGAAGGCCCAACAGATATGGAGAGAATATTTACCACATTCTAGGCCCTGTGCTTTGCTTTGAGAATAAAGCAACGATCGAAACAAACATAGCTCCTGCCCTGTCAAATATATAATCTAGATGGAGAAGCCTATAATAAACAGATACTTACACATAACTCATTAGAAGTACAATAAGTGTGCTAGTGATAAGTTCTGGGGTGCTATGAAACCATTTAACAGGGCTGTCCTAAGTCTGGAAAGTCAGGGAAGGCCTCCCTGAGGAAGTGAAATTCAGGTTTAAAACTAAAATGTAAGTAGGAATAAAAAGAGTTGCTTGTTTGTGACTGTCCAGCATTGAACCTCGTTCAGTGTTTGGGAAGGAATAAACACCCCTGGGAATCTGCTCTTGTATGAGCCTTGGTTGGAGCCAGAACTTGGCCTTCTTCTGTGAAATTTCTCCAGAGAACATAAGACCTGACCTCAACTAGTCATGTTCCCATGCGGGACTCTGAGTGTAGGGTAAGTAACACAAAGAAACAGGAACAATTTGTATTCTATTTTGGCAAAGACAAAGAATCTACCAGTCAATGACACATGTTGGGTGTTAATGGTGCCAGCAAGAGTGGGCAGCACAGCCTGACCAGATGGTTCAGTGGTGTAACTTGGATGTTATTCCACCACCTGGGCTTCTTCTAAATCCTTCTTGGCTCCCAGAGCTGGTTCCTCAGCTTCCTCTAAGAGTCTGTGAACTAAGAGTCCCATTTCTTCCCAATTAACACTCTTTTTCTCCAAAGCTAACAAGAATCAACTCCCACTGTTTGCAGTCAACAACCCTGGATGGTGTAAGAGGGGCTGGAGATTAAGGAGGCTGTGTGCAGAGAGCGGAGAGAGGGAAAGCAGTCCAGGCTGTGGGGCAACTCTCTCATATCCCTGTGAGGGAGGCAGGCACACCTGCCAAAATCACCTTCTTAAGGGGCTGTAAGAAACTCTCCCTCAAAGTTCTGCTTTATTTTAATGACCTTTTCTCTTCCAGGGAAAGGTTTGGATGAGTTTGGAGAATAAAATAAACAAACGTTTTAAATTTCAGAGACAATTTTTCAAACTCCTGCACAAAGCTTTTCAAACATTCAGTTCTTTGGTGACTCTTCCTCTCTTTAAGAAGCTAAATTACACTGGTTAGTAGAATGAATAATAAGTTTCTATGCTGGGTAAACAGAAATGCATTCAATGAATTATCTGGCTAGCTTTTTAAATGCAGTGTGGGCCATACCAACAACAATAATAATTATTATTATTATCATTATGTTTAACATCTAAGGAACTAATGGTACAATAATTATTTTTATTGATGATTAAGGGGCTAGTGTATGATTAGTTGGTCAATGTTATGATAGG